TTCTCCCCTTTCATCTGACCTTGTTTTATCAGGTATCTTCAGGACTGGCTGCAAAGTCCTCGTCCATGGCCTGCTCCTTCCTTGGGAATGGGAGGGGAGGTGAAAGAGCCTGCAATTGAGCCTGACTATTTCCTGTCAGAAATAGTCCTAGTTCCCCTTACTATGGGAAACCAGTTGGTTACTGAGCTACCATGGGCTTCATCTGAGCAGAGGTTCTAGGTTATATCCATACATGGTCCTTGGTGGAGTGTCAGTCTCAGAAAAGACCCCTGTGCCCAGATATATTTGGTCCTTGTGGAGCTCCTATTCTTTCCATGTCATACAAACTCCCCCTTCTTTCATATGATTCCTTGCACTCTGCCGAAGGTTTGGTTATGAGTCCTAGTGTCTGCTTTGATATGCTGCTAGGTAGAGACTTACAGGGGCCCTCTGCGGTAGGCTCCTGTCCTGTTACTTGTTTTCTCCCACATCCAATGCACCTCCCATTTAAAATGAAAAATATGCCTAAACTAACCAAGTTTGCTTTACCTAACAAAATAACTACAAAGTTCTGTAAGTCCTTAGAGAGTTAAATCAAATGTATACTTAAGACTTAATTATAATTTGTGCTATAAAATGATCATACAGCTGTGCTATATTTATTTATTTACTTTTTCTCATTCTAGACAATTTTTTGAAGAATTGAGTTCTAAATCATTACTCCAGTCTTCTAGGCTTTCAGTCCTGTACTTCTCCAGTCTTGTTATCACAGGTCAGCATTTGAATGAACTGTTTACCTATGTGTAACTGATAAACCTGTTCAGAAGTATAAAGTTTCTTTCAATGTTGATGAAAGTTTTTGCTAATTCATTAAGAATTTTGTACAATGTATGATCATATGGACTTTCTTCCCCAAGTCCTTTCAGATACACTCTCCTTTCCCAATTCACCTCGGTTTGAATTCATTTCTTTTAAACCTATCAAATCCAAATTAGACAATTTATATAATGTTGAATATGTGTCCTTCTGCTGAAGCATGGTGTCCTCAAGTGGAGACTACATTGTTAGAGAAACCTGACTTCATCTTCTCCTCTAGCTATTAATTTATAATAGTGCCTCTTCTATGTGAGGGGCTTTCTGCCCATTCCTCCTTTCTTGAAAAAATTATTAATCATTATTTAGACACCCTCATAAGCACCTTCTATCTATTTAGACTTGTTGACATGGTGGTCTAAATGTTCGCTGTTTAAATTTGGTCTTTAGTAAATATTTTGCTAGATGACTAAGGGTCCTTTGTATTAAAATGGTATTTTATAGTTCTGATCTCTTCTCATTTTCTCTTCTTCAAGGTTGTTTCAGTGAAAGTCTCTAGCCTGAATCCATGGATAAGACCAATTATTCAGTGGTGTCTGAGTTTGTGTTGCTTGGACTCTCTAGCTCTCAAGAACTTCAGCTTTTCTTCTTTGTTTTCTTCTCTGCATTGTACATCGCCATCATATTAGGAAATCTTCTCATCATCATAGCGGTGACTTCTGACAGCAGCCTGCACTGCCCCATGTATTTCCTCCTGGGAAACCTTTCCTTTCTTGACATTTGTCAGGCTTCTTTTGCTACACCTAAAATGATTGCAGACTTTCTGAGTGAACACAAGACTATTTCCTTTGGTGGCTGCATAGCCCAAATCTTTTTCATTCACCTCTTTACAGGAGGGGAGATGGTAATCTTGGTTTCCATGGCCTATGACAGATATGTGGCCATATGTAAGCCTCTACATTATATGACCATCATGAACCAAAATACATGTGCTGTCATGGTGGCAATCTCCTGGGCTGTGGGCTTGGTGCATACATTGAGCCAATTATCATTTACTGTAAACCTGGCATTTTGTGGACCCAATGAAGTAGACAGCTTTTTTTGTGACCTTCCTAGAGTGGTCAAGCTCGCCTGTATTGACTCATACTTGACTGAAATACTAATTGTGGTAAACAGTGGCATTCTTTCCTTAAGCACTTTCTCTCTCTTGGTGAGCTCCTATGTCATAATTCTTGTCACAGTTTGGTTCAAGTCTTCTGCTGCCATGGACAAGGCGTTTTCTACACTGTCTGCTCACATCATGGTAGTAGTTTTATTCTTTGGACCTTGCATCTTCATCTATGTGTGGCCCTTTACTACCTGTCCTCTGGATAAAATTCTTGCTATATTTTATACAATTTTCACTCCCATCCTAAATCCCATTATTTACACACTACGAAATAGAGATATGAAAGCTGTCATGAGGAAAATTGCAGCCCATTACCTCAGACCACCAAAAATGTCTGGAATGTCATTAGTAGCAATAAAACTCAAGTTATTGAAATAAAACTCAAGTTATTGAAACCCATTGTCTACCTTCAAATATTTTCATACCTAAACAGTGGAGTAAATGAGAAAGGTAAGCTACAAAAGACTAATGGATATTACCAAGGGTTTCCTAGTTATTTCCTAAGCAAAAGTTACACATCCCTCACCGAAAAGAAAAACGTACTATGTATTTGATTATTAATGGACTAATAAAGAAATTTCCAGAGTGTTAAGTATGCAGTAATTGTTTTGGTAATAGGTAAATGTGAATATGATGCAAACAAGTGGATGAGGACCCAATGCTTTTTGAGGATAAATTTACAAATTTTACCTTTTCATTTTCTTTGAGACGTGGCTACATAGTCTTTGTACATACTTCCCGTAATCGCACCTTAGCATATGGGATGTTACATAACCAAAAGGCTATACTTCAACTTTTCCTGCAATTGGCTCTCTTTAATCAGTGTGAATGATTCTGTTCCCATGTTAAATTACAAGTGACAGAAAATCTAGGAGAATCTAGATAACAATATCTATATCAATTTTTAAGTCTATGATATAAATACCTTTTCAACTCACATTTGGACTAAATACAACTTTCTTAGTGAAAACTGAAAAACAAGTTAAGAGGGTAATGTTAAACATACACCAATTTGGTGGTTTGAACCACACTGAAAATTTCTCCTATTTTCAGTGTCCATAATCCCCTTTGTCTTTCTAGATGAGGATTGATCATCTTACCCCTGGACCTCTTTCTTGCTTATCTTCTTTAGGTGTACATATTTTAGTATGTTTATCATATCTTATAGGTCTATATAAGTGAGTATATACAATGTGTGTCTTTCGGCTTTTGGGATACCTCACTCAGGATGATTTTTTTCTAGATCCCACAATTTGCCTGCAAGATTCATGATGTCCTTGTTTTTAAGTGCTGATTAGGATTCCATTGTGTAAAAGTACCACAATTTCTGTATCCATTCCTCTGTTGAGGGACATCTGGGTTGTTTCCAAGTTCTGGATATCACGAATAAAGCTGCTACAAACATGGTTGAGGAAATGTCCTTGTTGTGTATTGAACATCTTTTGGATATATGCCTAGGAGTGGTAGAGCTGGATCTTCAGGTAGCACTATTCCTAATTGTCTGAGAAAGCACCAGATTGATTTCCAGAGTTGTCGTACCAGTTGACATTCCCACTAGCAATGGAGGAGGGTTTCCCTTTCTCCACAGCCTACCCAGCATGTGTTATCTCTTTTTTGATCTTAGCCATTCTGATGGGTACAAGGTGAAATCTCAGGGTCATTTTGATTTGCATCTCTCTGATGGCTAGGGATGTCGAACATCTCCTTATGTGTTTCTCTGCCATTCTATATTCTTCTACAGAGAATTCGCTGTTTAGCTCCATACTCCGTTTTTTAATTGGGTTACTTGAATTATTACCTTTTAACTTCTTTAGTTCTTTATATAATCCAAATATCAGCCCTTTTGTACACCTTATTTCACTGTTTTTTAAGGAAAGTCTACATGTATCCATTTTATTAAAACAGATGATCCTTAACTATGTTGCAATAATTTTAATACATTTTCCCCTCTCACTGAAAAGTTTTTTTCTCCTCATGCAATGTATCCTGACTACAATTTCCTCTCCCCTGAATCCTTATTCCTCCTCATTTTCCCTCTAACCTGGATCCACAGCCTTTCTGATTCTCATAGGTTTTAAAATAGAAACAATACTGGGTAAGTAGAATTGGAAGAAGTTAGCAAAGAGGATGATACGATCAAAATCTATTGTATAAAAATTTCAAAGAACGAACAAAGATAAAATACTTTAAAAGTCCTTGAGAGGCTACATTTCACATCTCCACCCAGCCAGCTCTTGAACATTCTTCTTCAGACTATCCAGTTGACTCTCCTTGAACCTCTCTTCCACTTACCTTCTCAAACCTGCTGGCCCAGGTCCTAATTCAATGCCCTGACTCAGTCTGGCTACCTATGACCTTGCCTCAACAATTTGCTGAATATTGCCATGACAACATGCAACAGGATATGTGTGTAATAGCATATGCCCAACATTCTATTCCATATATACTTGCGTAGCCAAATTTATTGCTGCTCTATTCATGAGACTGAAAAAATAGAAGTAATTTAAATATGTTATTCAATAAACAAAGGAATAATAAACATATGGTACATGTATACTATTAAATGCTAATTAGGTACAAAAATATGAAATCATAGACTCTTAGGTAGAAATGGTCATATTAATTAGGTTACATAGGCTTGGAAAAAAGAATATAGCTATTGCCATTGGTTGCCTTTGCCTCCCAGAGCTGGAATGCTTCAATTGCTGAAGATACCATGCATTTAAGATAGAAAACCCAGAGGCTTCAGAGGTGGAATTAATCTGACTTGCCTCCTCATTGAAGGCTAGCTTTCACAGTATTACAAGTTACCATGTATGCTTCCAAAGGAGGGAGGCAACTGATAATCTTAACTAGCTATGATGCCCATGAACCACAAAGACCTTCAAGGCATAATAATGAGCTTAAGGGTACTGTAATGGCATGCATACCTTGGTGCAACCCACAGCTCTCTAATTGAAGTTAATACCACTCAGAAAGAGAGCAACCATGACTGTCACTGTGAACTTCGCCTACTGAAGTCATAGAACTTGGAGAAGAAACTACAGCCATTACTTTACTGAAGCAGAATAAACCCTAACTACATTCTAAATATTTGTCATAAGTCCACAGATAAACATATTCTTCACACCTCAAGGAAACATTTCTTTGCCACAGACAGAGAACACTACAGAAAACCACAACCAATGAAAAATCACAATTGTGGAGCCTAATCCCAAAAGATAATCTCCAAAAGAGTTCTTTTATGTAAGGCTCAGGGATGATTGCTAAAGATGAAGTGGAAATATTTCAAGAGCCAGAGGGTCAGGGAGTTTTTGAAATTTGTTGAAATTGTGTCTATTTCTCATGTCAGAATCTACACCAATAATGTCTCATCAGTATGACCTTATAAACATCAAGAGATCTGGTAATGTGGATTTGGGAAAGGCCAACATATTCTAACCCTACACAAAAAAATACAGGCAACTAAGTCATGCTAAGAATTGCAGAAATGACTTGCTTGGTTAGGGTTACACCAAGGTAATTTATGTCATTTGTGGCTATTGTGTGCATTTAAAGAAACCAAGCAAGGGAGAGGACCCTAACTAAAATGTTCAATCCCCACCTGAAAGGCAAAGAGGGGGGACATCAAAAGAAGAAGAAAACAGGAAACAACCTAGAATCCTGTTACAGAAGGCTTCTGTAAGCCAGAAGAAGAAAAGAGGAAACAAACTAGGAACCTACCACAGAGGGCCTCTGAAAGCCTCTGCCCTGCAGACTATCAAAGCAGATGCTGAGCCTGATGGCCAACTGTCAGGCAGAGTGAATGGAATTTTAAGTAAGAAGTGGGAAATAGTAAGAACTGGAGAGGACAGGAACTCCACAAGGAGAGCAACAGAACAAGAAAATTTGAACACAGGGAACTTCCCAGAGACTCATACTCCAACCAAGGACTATTCATGGAGATAACGTAGAACCCCTGCATAGATGTAGCCCATGGCAGGTCAGTGTCCAAGTGGGTTACCTAGTAATGGGAAAAGGGACTGCCTCTGACATAATCTGATTGGCCTGCTCTTTGATCATCTCACCCTGAGGGGGGAGCAGCCCTACCAGGCCACAAAAGAGGACAATGCAGCCACTTTTGACGAGAACTGATAGACTAAGATCAGAAAGGAGAGGAGAACCTCCCCTATCAGTGGACTTGGGGAGTGGCATGCATGCAGAAAGGGGGGGAGGGTGGGATCGGGAGGGGAGGAGGGAGAGGCTTATGGGGGGATACAAAATGAATAAAGTGTAACTAATAAAAAATTTAAAAAAAAAAGAATTGCAGAAATGATCTTCCTCAGTAAGAACACACCAATTGCCTGTTTGTTTGTATATGTTAATTCCTAAATATACACCTGTATTTGTGTATAATGTATACTTACATATTTGCATATACATGCATAGTTGCACGAAACAATAATTAATGGAAAAGGGTCATGAATTTGAAAGATGCCAAGGAGAAATATATGGGAAATTGTAGATGGAGAAGATGAGGTCCCTCCGTTGAAGTTTCTTTTTAGCTCTGTACCCCTTATTTTAAAAAGTAACTAACAAATTAATTCATCAATAATTATTTATTCACTTTATTTCCAATCATAGTCCTCCTCTCCTCCTGGTTCAACTCTTCCTCCCTCTCTTCCTCTCCCTCTTCCCCTATTTCACAGAAAAGTAGAGTCCCCCTCTACCAACCCATCCAAGCTCATCAAGTGGCATCAGAACTGAGCTGGTCCTCTTCCCCTGTGGCCTGGTGAGGCAGCCCCACCAGTGAAGTGATTAAAAGAAAACATTCAGTAGAATCTATGTTGGAGAGAGCCCCCCTCTCCCCTTACTAGGGTAACCACATGAAGCCAGAACTGTCCATTGGCTATTTCTTTGTAGGGGGCCTAGGACATAATGCATAGTCCATGCATTATATCATTTCCCCAAAATATTCTTTATATTTTTTTTGGTTCACTGATTATTTCAGACATTGTTTCTTTTAACACCTTCAATTAGTGTGGTTTTTTTTCTAGCCTTATATTTGTATATTTTCCAGTACCATTATTTTAACCATGATGATTTTTAGAGATGAATTAAACATAATTGTTTTAAGCAGAATGGAGTATTAAAATCAAAATAAACTGACTGTAAATATCAAAATAATTCATTATTAAACTTGTTGACAAAAATTTTTCAGACATATCTTAGAAAATTTACTGACACTTTAGGAACAAGAGAGCATGAAACACAGCCAAGGTTATACTTGCTAGTTATGAACCATGTCTTTTTATAAGTTCATTCTAATGTATTTTAATATTTTTCTTAAGACATATGTATGTGCCTAATCATGAAATAAATGCAAATAAACCTAGGGA